TTAAGATAATGTCCGGCGGCCGCGGAGTCGTCGACTTATGTCTGGAACAGGGTCTGGTCCAAAAGAAGGGAGCGGATTAAAGCCCCTCGGGTTGGAATTGGTTTGATCAGAGCCTGAAAATGGGAACACAATAATGTTCAGCTGAAACATACTTCACTTTTTGCATATTCGCTAAGGAAATACATTACAGAAATATGTCATGAAAATTAAATTAATTTGAGAATTAAAAGCTTACAAGAATTAAAGGATAAATGGAATTATAGTATTAAGTTTTTGAAAATAAATAAATAAATATATATAAATATATGGTTTCCTAAGAAATATCAAACTTCTATGACACATAAGTTATATCCGTTTTTGTTGTGACATATTATACATATTCGATAAGTTATTTATTTAAGGTTGATATAGGCTTAGAAATGGTTATATTACTAAAGAGAGATATGTTTTTAAAAACCAAGTTATGTCTAGCAATACGTTATAATTTATTTACGACACAAACTACATTTAAAGTTTATTCAAAATATCCTTTAATGACTTTGTGTATATATTTATATTTATCTTAACAAATTGACAGTATTTCGAGTATTTCAACTCCATATAGAGCATTGTAAAGTCCACAATTGACCATGTTTCGTGTAGCCTTTTGTATTTTGTTTCGTTTTATTCGGTTTTATGCCATTTTATTTCATCGTTCCGCCGGCCCCCGTTGCTGGCTTGTTACGCTGTCACATTACCTACATCAAGTGTCACTTTAAAACGCATTTTTCTTTCACCCCGCTCGGGTCTCACATTTTGAAGTGTTGCTCAAAGCTGTCGCCACTTTGCTTTATCTAAAGACCCAATGTCCGCTGTTCTGCGTCCTGCGTCCTGGGTTCTGTCCTCCCGTCCCCGGATTTCCACATTTCCCTCAGGTCGTCTTGCCCATTCCCCTGGTGGCTCGTGTTTGTAAACAATTCGAGGCACATTAAGTTCCAATTAAGTAACATTCCAGGCAAATCAGAGACGAGGAGACCCAGACCCTCCTTCCTGCCTTAGCCATTTGTTTATGTTGCCGAAGGGAGGACGGGCGGTCGGTTGCGGCAGATTGCTTTGTTAATATTAATTTGTCATTAGTTTGGCTTACGAGCGGCTCGTTTAAAATGCATTGATAGGCCAAGTGGCTCTTATCACAGCAAGAGCGCTCCCCGGGAGCTGTGTACATAGTTACTCTGGGTTTTGGCCGACCTGCCCATCAGATAAGTTTAATGCGCTTTAAACTGTTTGGCTAGCAGCTTGCGGCCCGGCTCAAGATTGAGGGTTGAGGAAGCCATCATCCTTTCGGCCGGTATCGGGGTCCTTTTGAAAACTAGGCGCAACTGTTGCTTGGCCACTTTGCTGATGAAAGGGTGCGAAGGTATTTCGGTTGCGGCCAAGCCACAGTTACAGCCACAGCCTCACCTTTGCACCTGCCACAGGCTCTCATACCTGGCTATTGGGTTTCACACTGAACGAAAATGATACTGAAATAATAGTTGAAAATGTTTTTTAACATTTGGGTTTCACACTGAACGAAAATTATATTGAAATAATATTTGAAAATATTTCTTAAGGTAAAGGAATATCTTTGAATGGGATATACATTTTTGAGTGATTTTAGAGTCCTTTGAGACTTTGTACAACGAATACAGCAAAGTCTTATGAATATTGTTCCTATTTCGTACAGTGAAATCTGTTCTTTATCTGGACATCGGTTGAGGGACCTTAGTTAGTGTGCTTTTCTTAGGATGCCACTTTGATGGACAGATCTTGGAGCACAAGCCAGAAGAGGGAGAGATTTCATTTTCCGCACCAAGTCCTTTTTGGCCGGACAACCAGAGCTACTCTTTGGGTCTGTGTTTTCTGTGGCTGTGCTTTTCCTGGCCATCATCTTGTTTTATTTTTATTTACTGTTTTTTTTTCTTTTGCTTCTTTTCTATTCGGTCTTTTTTATTTTAACGCTTCAACACGGACATACATAGTATATACCCCGTACACATGGCACTCAAAGGCTTCGGCCTCAAGTGTCGACGTTTTTTATTTCACGCTACTTTGAGCTGATATACATGCAAATATACACACACACACACACAGGAGGCCACAAAGCGTAAAAATGTATAAAGCTTATGCCAGTCGGCATCCTGCAGCGACCCACAACCCATTCGGCCCACTGAGTCAGTCAGTCAGTCAGTGAGGCGCGTTATTTCAGTTTAGTTTTTAGTATAGAAGAATGGGTGCCACCCTCAGAACGGTGGGAGATTTTGTATATTATCAGGGTTTAAGGGAAAGTTTCATTTAATATATAATTTATAAACTCAAAGCTAAGTTTTATATTAAATTGGGTTCAATGAGAAATTTAAAAAGTGTATAAAAGTAGGCAATAAAATATTTTAAGGACATCAGGAGACCATTTCAGTCAATTTAAAAGAAAAGTAAAGAATTATATGATGTGTATATGTATAGTATTCACAAGTTTAAACATTTTTTCAATGTATTTGTCTAAAATCTAAAATATACACCTTTCTCACCACTGTGCTCCGACCAACTACGCATAAAAAGCAAAATATATATATTCCTCAATGCAGCAGCCACGAGCATCGCCACCACGGTATCCTGGCTTTCAATAGCTCTATATACAAGTGAGTTGAATATGGCTAAAAAGGAAGGTGTTATCTGATTGCCATTTTAAACACAGCAACAGCACCAGCGATTTCGAGTGCAATTGGCAAAAGAACTGGCCAAATCAAAAGCGAGACTCGTTGAAAGGTGGAGCAGGGCATAAAAAACAGTACAATTCAATGAATAGCTCAGCGTTTCCAAGCGTTTTTATGCCTTTTCCCCCTGTCCCCCTCTCTAATGCCCGATGGCGAGTGCCCGCAGAAACATTAAAAGATAATCGGGCAGCAAGGAGAAGCGCAATCAGAGGCAAAGTCCGCGCGAATGGATAAAAGACGAAAGGACGACACATTCCGTATTTGTCAACGGACTGTCAAAGGCAAGTTTTCAAAAGCTGCAAGTTTCTGGACAGACGAGTATATAAGCTAGATGATACGTTTTATACAGAAATGTGGTTTTTAAAAATATATATCTTAAAATATGCAAAATCTTATTAACTAATCATAGTTTTTATACCCAAAACAACCTACAGAAAATATTTCAACCCATATTTAAATACTATATTTACTCACAACTCTAAAATATTAAATTTAACTCTGCTCTAAATTCTGTTTTAATTTGTTTTCCCAATGAAATTAATTATTCAATTTTGCAATTTAAATTCGAAATATTTAAAGGATTTTATTTGTTTAATTGCACAAATTATTCTGTACTTTGCAGCATGGAGGAACATTTAATGAGTTAAATTGAAATGAGTATACAAATTAAAACAAATTAGCGGAAAATTAGAATAAACTTGGCCCTTAAAATGCAATAAAACGAGATTTAGAAATTGCATTTTGGCTCTAAATATTGTTACTGGCACTTATTGTTTAATAAGCTTAAATAAAGTCGTTTAGGTTTAGAAGTAGGTAATTAATTAAAGCCCATAAGGGTTATTCGAGATTTATAATAATAAAAATTTATTTATTCAAGGTTGTAATTATTACAAAATGCATTTCAAAAGCAAATTTAAAACTGGACTCTTTCGCTTGAATAAATATTTAGATGTCAAGAAGTCATTAGGAGCAAATGATTATTAATTTACGTTTAATTACATCAATTAGAGAGTTAAGCGTAGAATGCAAAGCACTGCAATTAGTTGACGACATTTCTGCGTGAATTATTAAAGAATTCCCCGACACATGTGGACATGCAAATATGGTGATGACTTTATTGCCCTGCTGCAGTTCTTCATGTCTTTTTACCCTTTTTCCCTGTTAATTGAAATAATAATTCATGCTCATGCAGCTTGTTAGGGCATTGGACATTTCCCCTCCTATTAGAGAAGAAGAACACAATCCTGTCTTCGATATCCTGTTGCTTGTTTTTCTGTGTGCGTGTGTGTTTGCTTACACTGAGCGAAATACAGCAAGTTCTTAGTAAGAGCTGTGAGTGCAACGGGGCGTATGTGCAACCAAAGTCGTTTAAAAGTCACACACTCGCACACAGCAATTAAACGGCACTCGGACACTCCGCTCGTGTAGAATGAGTGTCTGTGGGAATAGTGTGCTTACACTATCGGCAATTAAAATCTAAAAAAAGCCAGCTCTCGTCCTGTCTGCTGCAAAGTCCAGCACAGCTAGATGTCCACCTCAAAGCAAAGGTTGCTATTTGCTTAAGCTTCTCCCGGGACGGTACCTAAAGGTAAATGAATGAGCCCTTCTCGTGTTACCACTGAGCTGGGCAAATAATGAGGTAGACTATCCTAGATTTTAATGAATGAAAGCGATAATCGTTGTGAATTGCACAGCAATTGGACTCGTCAAAGGAGCACTAAGCACTGAGCAAATAAACACCTTATCTAACCGTGGATCCATCAAAGTGAAACGTAACCAATGGTTCAGTTTTTTTTGTATAGAAGCTTTCTAAGAAGGTTTCAAGTCTCATTTTAACTAGTTTGATATAGATATGGAAATTCATTATTATTAATAGAAAATGTAAAGTAAAGATATTCCTGTCACTACTTTTAGCACAAATTAACTTTATTTTTTATTTTAAATCTTTATATTATTAGCCAAAGTTTAGTAAATATATTGTTACGTTTTCACTTTAATATAATTATAAATGTTTCTTACAAAATCTTACAAAACAAAAATCCTATTACTTAATTTAAAAACCTCTCACTTTTAGAATAAAAATTGCTTAACTTTATATTTAAGTTGTTTAGTTCACCAGCTTTCACTTTTGTTTGTATACACTCTAACCCAGTTTGACCACAACTAGATTACTTTATAAAATAGTTCTTATACTTTTTTAGTATTTATATTGTTTTTATTTAAAGTTTTTGTCGTTTTTTCATTTTTCTTTCGTATTGGTAAATCCACTTAAATGAACGGGGAAAGTGGAGAAGCGCCGTAAATGCCGCCAGCGGTGGCGCCAAAGCCACCAATGGCCGGATATCCAATATTATAGCCACTGCCATAGCCATAACCATAAGGACGACCATAATATCCGCCCGAAAGTCCTCCCAGGCCGCTGGAGCCATAAGGATAATACGGCGAGCGTATGCCATAGCCTCCAATGCCGCCATATCCTCCATAGCCACCATAGCCACCATAGCCTCCGTAGCCTCCATAGCCGCCAATGCCTCCGTATCCTGAATATCCTCCGCCGTAGCCACCCACAAACGGATAGCCAATTTGGCGACTCACTCGCTCGCCCCGCTCAGAGCCAGAGCCAGAGCCAGAGTCCTTGCCCATTTTTTCAGGCTCATTTTGGTGCAGCGGTTGGCCAACTGTTGCGGCGATTAGCAGCGCATATAATCCAAATAAAAACCAGCTACGCATTATTATATCCTTATTGCTCCTTGAACTGCTTTTGCTGGTCGCTTGACTTTATCAGTGGTTCGCGTTCGCTTAAGTTGGCAACTGTGACCTGGCCAACTCTCGACCGGTGTCTTTATAGCCTAGAACTTTTCGCATAAAATAGAAACTTTTGTTTTCGCCCTTTCGGAGAGCGGCGTCTGTTTGTTTATTTTTTTGTGACCGAACCGAGCCGCTTGTTAGCAAAAATTAGATGCTAATGTAAATGCCATAAAACAAACTATTAAAATATGCGAGTGCGAGTACGAAGTACCCACAGCCATTGCCCTCTGCTAAAAACGAAACAAAAAGCCAATTCATATGGCCAGGTCTCTGGGTATTTTTCGTGGCACGCTAAGTGGCGCTCATGAAATCGAATGGCAGCCAGTGGCGGTTTTAAAGAGCAAAACATTTCACTTTGTGGCGAACACCAGCTCCTGTTCAGTGCTGGCCGCCAGCACCAAAAGAGGTTTCAACAAGTGAATAAATAAAATGGTTTAAAATTAATCAAAAAACAACAAGGACTTGAACATGGACACCATGCAAGCGTCCTGGTTAGCAAGGCCTAATTAATTTAATAACAATAAACATAACATTAAAAAATAAAATAAATATGTATATATAGGGTTTCTTATGTTTTTCGTTGATACCAATTTTATTGTTTTTAATTAGTTTCTCTTAACTATTTTGTTGATTAACATTAAAATCTAACAAAGTACTTCGTTAAGCTAGAAAATAAATAAAGTTTTTGACAAACATAGAAGAAAAACCATCAGCCATTTTAGAATGAGAAAACCTTTTAAATAATAAACATAACGTTAAATAATAAAATAAATATGTATATATAGGGTTTCTTATGCTTTTCGAAAAGATACCTGTTTTATTGTTTTTTAATTCGTTTCTTTTAACTATTCTGTTGATTAACATTAAAATCTAACAAAGTTCTACTTTAAGCTAGAAAATAAATAAAGTTTTTGACAAACAATAGAAGCAAGACTATAACCTTTTAAATATCTCATTCTTCTTCGGACATGAAAGTAACCTAATATAGATTTATATATATAATACTCAAATCTCCTCTAAAATTTGGCTGGAACATCAGATGTTTGTCCTTAGACTTCTTTTGAGAATCCTTGTACTATTAATTGGTAAATGTGCTTTTGGTGGAGGGCACCCTTTGTACGATGGATTTTTTAGTTACAGCTTTTTAAGAAATGAGATAATATGTTACTTTACTCATCAATATCCGATACTTACCAGTTTTAAGCTTCCACGTAAATCACCAGCTTGACATTTAAATCCTTTGTGAATTTCTTGTACACAGATTAATTGATCCTTGCTCAAGAGTCTCCTTGCTAAAAAAAATGCTCAAAGTACAAAAAGCACTACATTTTTATTTTCTTTTTAGCATAACAAAGATGTACTTCCAAAATGGTTAGAAAAATAATGCATGAACTTTGAGGAGTGGGTTTCTTCTAGTGTAATATTCCATTACCATGCTTTCATTTTTAAAAAATACCTACAAAATAATAAAAGATTTATGTCATATTATATTTTCACAGTAAGAAATATTCATAAGAAATTATTTGGCTTCTACATAGTTTCTTCTCTCTTCTTCTCTGTGAAAGTTGAACCTTTTGTTAAATCGCTTTAAGCCATATTTTCTTCAATTTATTTGCCAAGCCCGTTGGCTTGAAACTGGCTTTGATGTCAGCTCTACTGCTGCGGTCAGGTAAGCTGTGTAAATGTGCTAATTTCATTTGAAGGTTAGTTATGCTATTGACCAGTGGGCGGAGGCCTACTGCCAGACCCATACTCCACACCTCACACCCATTCACAGACTTTGGGCAGACGCCTCCAACTTCCAGGGGTGCGTAAGTGTGAATTGCTGTTTGTTTGTTGCTCTTGTTGTTTGCTGAGTTTTGGCCAGTTTGCCAGTTTGTGAGTTTGCCAGTTTGCCAGTTTGCCAGCTTGGCCGGCCTGCTTGTGTTTGCCTGTTTGCTGGTGTTTGGCTTCCCTGTTTGTTTTATGAGCGCGCGGAACGGCCATTAACAATGCTCGATGGCTCTATTGCCGGCTTGAATGGCTCTCAATTGGTTTATTGCGGTTTTCGGCGCATGTGTTTTTCGGCCAAAATCCGCAGACTAATCCAAAAGGCCAAAGCTGCGGCGTTTTAATTCATTTATGCAAAACTGCGAAATCTCTCTCACTCTCCCAGCCTCAATCTCCATTTCGCTGCCCAAATTTGCTTATTCAAATTTAAACGCTTTTAGCCAGTCCAGGAAACTGGGTCAATTAACGATGTCAACGTCAAAATGATGCACATTTTGCAACCCACTCCCTCAGAGATCCTCTGGATGGCGTAAACTTCCGCATAAATTTACAACGCTCAACTGCAATGGAGAGAGAGAAAGAGGAACAGAGCCACAAAAAGACCTAGAAGCGGCGGCATAAATTAAAAATCCATTTTTTAACTCAACCCAGGGAAAAAAAGTATTTTGACTATGATTGTCATAATCAGCCGAGGAGCCAGGAGTTGGACCTGGAGCTGAAGCTGGAGCTGGAGCAGGAAGTAAAAGCTGGAATTTGAAACTATGGAGAGGCCACGCAAACACAGTCCGTCCCCCCTTTCGGCTCTTTTGCCCAACGAACCGGTTGGCGATTAGTAAAATTACTAATTTACATTGGCCAGGTGTCCAGGTGGCTGGGCTACCACCTACCTAATTCATTATTTTTTTGTTGCCCGCTCGCGGTTGTTTATGTGCCAAAATGCTATTCCTGTTATAATGGATTCCATGCCCTTTAAGGTGGAATTTTAATTATAATTAATGATTTACTTAAATTGAGCTGAGTTCTCTTGAAAGTTTAACTATAAAATAAACAGCACTTTAGTCAACAAGTTCTGTATACAATTCTTGTTTTTTTGTTTTGTATTTATAAACTGATAAAAAGTGATTCTTTGTGGCTTTACAAATTGTAACTCATACAACAAATTTAACATGATTAATTTCTACATTATTATAGAGTGTCATTAACTTAAAAACAAATAATTTTAAAATATAAAATGTAACAAAGAAAGCTAACTTCAAACAGCCGAAGTGTGTATATCAATGCGATTACACATTGGATCATTGGTTTGTTTTAATTTGGAATTTAACATTTTCGATTTTACTCCTCACGTTTAAAAATTTAATTAAATATGTTGTCGAATTTGTATTTTTTAACGATTTATTCTCTATTGATTAAAACTTGGTTTGTAAATAGAAATTGATATGATTTTTGGAAATTATTGGCTTTTTGGAATTCGTACACCTATGTATATAAAAATATAATACCACTTTTTGAGTTTATATTAATCGATATATTATATTTATATGACAATATTTCCGACAAATTGAAATTTAAAAAACTCATAAGTAAGCCAAAAATGCTTTTATTTCAATTCGGAAAGCTGTTCTGTGCTAGTTTTTATAGGGCTAACAAATCTACATTTTGAGTTTTAAAATTAAAGCACATTTTAAATTTTTCAAATTTTGCCATTTTGACAATGTTAATTTTTAACCAAAAATATTTGAAAAAAATTTTCAATTTTTTTTTTCTTCGGACATGGCTAGATCGACTAGGCTTTTTCTACTGATCAAGAATATATATAATTTATAGGGTCGGAAATGATTCCTTCACTGATTTGCAAGCTTTTGACTAACATTATAATACCCTGCAAGTTTAAAAAAGGCTGACAACATAAATATCACAATTAAACTCCTTTACACATTCTTAACAATTATGTTATATATATTAACATATTTCTGTAAATGTAGAAATAAATACTAATAAAGTTGTTTACGGTAATAAAAACTCTCCCTCATCAGCACTTGAAATAAATATAGTAAATGTAGTTAAGACTAACTTAAAATCGATTAAAATAATTGTAAAACTTCCCTTTTTTATGACTTTAAAAGTGCGGCTTGTAAATGATTAAGTACTGTAGTAATCAGGTCAAACATGTCCACTTGAACCTTTATGTCATCATAAAAAAATATTATAAATAATCACATTCCATTATACAATGTTTGTTACCTGTTTAGTCGTGGACAGCTTTACTTTACCTTTTTGCCAGGCCATCCTTAAAAAGTTTTTAATATTTTCTTACTTGCATTTTGTTTGTTACTTCTTTTAAAAGTTCAGGCCAAAGTTTTCGCTCTGCTCCCTAGAAAAGATGACTATAATGTTGTGAAAAACGTAGGCAGTCTCGTCATTTGCTTTGCCTTTTAGCTCCTGAAGAACTGGCCCCGTCAATTGACGGATGACAGGGCAGATGGCCAGTCAGTTTTATGAATAAGTTTTGAGTCGTTTCTGATTTTGTTCAACGGTCACTTTGAGTGAATAATTGAATTAAAAGTTTGCTGCTCTTTACTCTGTGATTTCTCATCTAAATGAGCAGGAACGAGCAATGGATTAACAAGAGGTTAAAAATGGGTTGGAGATAATTATACATTTTTTTTAGTTTTTCAGTGGGGTTTCATAGATAACCTTTTATATTAATTATATGGTTACATAAATTCTAACAAATATATACAAGTTTCCAATAACTTATCTAAAATTCCACAGAATTCCCCAATAGCAAAACAAACCTAAATTAAACCCATTGTGTCCAATATAATCCAGTTACTCCTGCTCTGGTAGCTTATATTCTCCATAACTAATTTATTTATAGCCTGCGTTTATATATACCCAATATATACTATCAACCAGACACGATCTAGGTGTGTGCTAACCATTGAGTTGGCTAATAAGATTGGCAAGATGAGTCAGTGCGTCAGTCATGAAATGAAAACGACAACGATTTTGATGACACTTGAATAACAACCAGTTGCGTTGACTGTGTTTGCTCTAAGATTTTAATTAAGTCAAACAAACAACAGAGAATCAAACCTCCACTCCGGTCCCCCCGAAAAGCTTTACGAAATTTGAAAGATGAAGGAGATGATGCCCTCTCGAGATGGTGCTTCCCATGAACACTTGGCCACTTGTCTATCGATCTGTTTTGTTGTGTTAGCCCAGAAACTTGAATGTTTTGCGCATTTGAATAGCTGTCCAGAGTCTGGTCACTATGGGTATATCCAATTTTGGATTATATAAATAGGAAATAGTGAAGGGCAGACGAAACTGGATTAAAGCAAAGATATAATACTACTTTTAATCTTAAAAAAATGTATTAAATATTATGTATCCTAGTTTTTAAAGTTTCAACAAAACTCTTTTGAAAAATTGTATTTATATTTTCCATTTAAGCTTGGAAATTAATTTTTGAACCCACTGTACTGTGAAGAAAGCTCATCTGTCTGGCCACTTGGCCCCATGATGCTTGAAGCCTCCTCTCCGGGGTGTTTGCCAAAAACTTTGCCTCTTCTTGTGCTCCATTTTCTGTTGCCTAATAGGTTTTGGTTATTATTATGACCACGGCTATACTAGCTACTGTCTTGGCCATTGTGTTTTTTGTTATTGTTGGCTAGCGCTTAGCCAGACAGTTAATATGAATCGGCCGGCTCTGCTCGTAGTATTCATTTCAGTTGGCGAAACACTCACAACTTTGATGTTCCGCCCCGTCGAACCACTTCCACTTTTATTCGATTTCTCAGTAGCCTCAGTAGCCGCCAGTCGATAAATTTGGAATCATATAAATTGCCAGTCGCAGAGTCGAGTCTTCATAGAATCCATCGAAACTTTGCCAGTGATTAGTGGCAGAAGTTTTTCCCCGAGTCCATTCGAGTAACGAAATGCGCACATTTGTTTGCCTTTCGCTGGCGGCCATTCTCCTGGTCGCTGGCTCCTCTGCGGCCACCTATGATGCGGCTGCCCAGCTCCTAGATGTGGATGCAGGTGTCCATGAACCTTTAGCCACACGCCAGGTTCGTCAGTTTGGTGGTCCAGGAGGTGGCTATGGAGGCTTTGGAGGCGGACGACCTGGAGGCGGCTATGGTGGCTTTGGAGGCGGACGACCTGGAGGCGGCTTTGGACCAGGAGGTGGTTTTGGAGGTGGACCAGGAGGTGGCTTCGGAGGCGGCGGCTTTGGAGGACCCGGCGGCGGCTTCGGTGGCCCAGGAGGTGGCTTCGGAGGCGGCGGCTTTGGTGGCCCAGGTGGCGGCTTTGGAGGTCCTGGTGGCTACCGAGGCTAAATAGCAACCATCCATAGCAATCATCTGTGACTGACTTAGCTTAACTCACTAGAAATAGAAAGTGTAATCAAAGTGCAATCAAGCACGTACTAATTAAGTCCCAAAATACAATTGCCTCTGTTCTTTGATTCACTTAATTTCCTTGTCATTTGCATTGCTTTCAATGATTGGCACTGTTATTTTCTCCCCAGTTAAATATATAAGTGGGGAAATGCACTGAAAAAGATAGAGAAACAGTGGTATTTCTTATGAAAATACATTGATTTTTGGGGATTAAAATAACCAAGATATATGCAGGATTTTGAGAACAAATATGAAATATTTCATAGTCATTCTATTTTATCCTAAATTTAATGATATTTACAGATCTAAAATATATATTTCTTAATTATTTGAGATCTGTTTAAATATATAAAAAACCCAAGCAGGACTTTATGGCAAGTTTTATATTTTTGAAATCAAACTAAAACAGTTGATATATTATCTGTAGGCTTATTCTACATTTCTCTATCTGTGAGTTAGCATTTAATTCCGTAACTGCTGCTTTCTTTCTTTCTTAGATTTTTTGTTTATTGTTCCTCCCTATTTATAACAAAGCAATCCATTGAAACTTAATGGAAGCTGTTGCCAGTAGCCCCGCGTCTCTGTTATCCAACTTGGCAATCTCGTTGGCATGGGCAAAGTCGTTTAAGATTAAACGTTTGCTGTAAAATTCCTCTTTTGACAAGCGCCCCTTTTATTGTTAAAAAATTAACTTGGCTTTAAATTTACGCCTTTTGTTATCCCTTGACCTTAGCCGTAGAGGACACCCGCCCGCCCACTTATACCGTTCATACAAGGGTCATACGCCAACATTGATAAAAGTTTTCGCTTTTTTCTTCTCTACCATCGCTCCCTTTTTTCATTTCGTTCTTGTTTTTTTTTTATTCGTGGCTCGTGAAAAATTTCTTGTTACTAGAACGCAGTCTTGTAAAAAGGCTTTGTTAGTCTACACTTTCAGGGTAAACTCTTGGAACTTTGCTCAGGGAAAGGAAAGGTCTTTTCCCTTAGGTCCTTTTAATACATTTTTGTATAGATTGAGCGGAAAGAAAATGGTAAAATGTTAAGCAAATTACTTGGTGGGAAGAAGCTCTTTACTATTTTACTTATTAAAGTGGTTTATAATTAAGATATAACTTTGTTTTGGAATAGATTTTGAAATATAATTTAAAATGTCAAACTTACTGCACTGAGAGAGCATCCAAGTTTCGGGAATCCTTTATTCTGTGTTTTTTTTTTTTGCCATTTTGGCGGGGCTGTTCTTATCGAAATCGTGTCTCAATAAATCTACGGCACCTTCGGATACACACCCGCCCACTTGCCAGGATTCCGCCCCAATCCTACCAAGCCAAGGGCAACGCCCACGCGGCAGATGGCAGCTGGCAGCAGCCTCTCTGGAAATGGGTGGGAAAAAGCCGTTCGAACTGATTATCCTTGTTGACCGTCGCGGCAGCAGCCGCAGCTGATTGATTTGTTATTGAAAATATTAGGCCTCGGCTTCCAGAAGGGAAAATCGAGATGGGGGGCAGAGGGACTTGAGATTCTGGGATTCAGGACGCAGGATGTGGAAGTTGGAACGTGCTGTGTGTTTGGATACGCTTGAAACTTTTATAACTTTATGAGGGCGTTGTAATTTGATATCGCAAAGTTTTTTTTATTGCCTTTTATAGCCTTATAATTTGGCCGCGATGTTGTTACTACCACTGTTGTTTTTGTTGTTCTTGTTGCTGGTGTCGCCACAAAAAGGGAGACGAGCCCCTTGTACCAAAAAGAGGGGGTTCCCACCGGGCCGTATACTTGTTGTTTTGTGGCAGCTTTTTGTTTACACGTTATTTATGGCTTATAAATACGTATCGGGGCGCTTTAGGTGGCTTCTCTGAATTGTAAACAACTCACATGCGGCCCGTACTTAAGAAATCTCTTAATGAGCATTAGATGCCGGCAAAATAAAATTACCCAAATGAATTTGTATGTATAATTGGATTAGAGAAGCTATAAATTTTCTAGTCCCGTCATTTCAGTGACGGCAAGCTTATAAAATTTCACACTCTTGAATTTGTTTTGGGATTCTTCTCGGTTTCAAGAACTATTGAAATTAATTCTATAAAAAAATGCCTTGAAAAATTGTATTTCATTCTAGAACTTCTCGATAAATCCCCCTCCTGGGTTGATGTCATTATTTTTACTATTTTTCTGTTTTCATTTTGAGTCAGCAATTAAAGTCCGGCGAAGATGATGAATACAAAAAAAATATTCTATAGAGAATTACTTTAAAATACCTAAATTTTTAACCTTAAGAATCATTTATAGTTTAGTTAATTAAATCCAGATTTTTCTACTTTATTTATAGTTAAAGATTTTTACCACATAAATATTTAACTATGTATTTACATTTGTTTATTTGATGCATGTGTTATGTATTAGGAAGAGCATATCAGAATCTTTAAAATAAAAATATATATTCCATATTTCTGTCAACTGTCATGGCTTATATAATATAAATAATAAGTAGAGTACTTCACATAAATTGAATTCAGAGAAACCAGTTTGTTTTCTAGTGCTGAATCCCCATTAGGGCTCAAAATGTATGACTGTCATTCACTTGAAAGCTTTTGAAAGAGAAAAGTTGGTAATTGGTTGGCATATTCGACTTTATTATTGCAATAAAATAAGTTTCTACTCTAATGGTGTATTATAGTTCTCTAGCTGGACTATAAAGTTATTTTCACTTTTCATATATAATTGGGGATGTAAAAAGTTGTTCTTAATATGATATATTTGAAATTTAAACAAGTTTGGTTTATATATAGTTTGTTTATACTTAATTGAAATGAAAAATGTAGTATAGAAACTATTTGTTATCTTAATGGAAATGTTTAAATTTACAAAACAAACTGGATTTTGTTATAAACTACCTACGTCAGGTAGAAAAAATTCGATAGGGTATTGACTTAACTCCCTTGTAGAACATAATTATAGACGAACAAGAGGCTAGTCATGGAGTGGGTGAAAAGAAGAACAGGTTGTTCTCACTGCGCAGAAATGATGTTGTTATTTTCTTTCTATTTTTTCCCCCTTTCTGCTGCTGTTGTTTGTTGTTTACAATTTCAGCCCGGGGGCTCTTGAATGTCGGGGGTTTTCTTCGCCATTTGATTATGCTCAGGAAATTTAATTGTTTAAGGTCGCCGGCATATACACACACAACTCGTTTAGAACAGGAACGTGGGGAGACTTGAGCTCTGAGCTATATAAAGAGCCTAGGCGGGGGATCGGCTCGACTTTAGTCAGGTTAACGAGTCTGCGGAACGATGCGCGGTCACGTCCACCACTTGAATCTATTAGTGCTAAGTGCCGGCCTTTTGGTCCTGCTGGGGACCACTACCATCGCCCAGGCCGCACCCGAGGCGGATCCGGATGTGGATGTACAGCAACTGACTCTGGCGGATGTAAATCAGGCAACGGAGCAGCAGGAGATGCCGGCTGTGCGCCTGGCCAGGCAATTTGGCTTCGGCCGGAGAGGCTTTGGCGGCGGCGGATTCGGCCGAGGTGGCTTTGGCCGAGGCAGGGGAGGATTCTGCTGTGGCGGCGGCTACGGTGGGTTCCGGCGACCCGGTTTCGGTGGTGGCTTCGGTAGATTCTACCCACCGCCGCCGCCGCCCTTCTTCGGCGGTCCCTTCTACGGCTAAGTGTTATTCATTTAATGTGCATATGTGATACGATCAGACCTGGATTAGCTGCGAATAAATCAACACGAGCTGCTGCTCTAATTACCCTACCAAGTGCTGAATCAGGCTTTTTTTTTATGAATTTCTCCATTCATTTAAATGGAGGCTCGAAAAGGGGGTCGGCTTCTCTTTAAAAATGTTCAAGCCAGGTGCTTAGCCATCCATTACGTTGTGTTCTGACGGAAGCTGCTGCGAAATATAATGGAGTTCCCTGACTGAGATGTTACACTCCGTGAAAGATATGACGGAAGAGGACTTCATTCTGCACTTAACAAAAAATAACATTCTTTTATGAGGTGATTATTTTAAAAGGTAATAAATGCAAACAGTATTTGTTCTCAGTGAGAGATCTGCTACAAAGCCCATTTAAATTTATTTTAATAATTTCGTAGCTAAGTTCTTTAATAAATCAAAAAAGAATTACCTTAGCTAATTGTCTAAACAAGTTAAGTGCTTAAGCTCTATACATATTTCTTATAAATAGAGCGCAAAGTTGACTAAAGAAATTATTATTCTAACAAAAACGTATCAAGATGCGAGGTTTATCTTGTCTGTTATTTTTAGTGGTGATCCTGCTGGCCAGAAATATCCTGGCTGAAGATCCAAAGGAGCAGGATCAACATCATCACAACCCGGAAGAGGGAAAATCTACAGATGATGCTGCGGAACGGATACGTCGTCAGATTGGAGGATTCTTTGGCGGTGGTCTAGCCTATGGAGGTCGTCCGTATCTACCGTTTGGATATCCTAATTATGGAGGTCCTTATGGTGGAGGACCCTACCTGGGGCATTCGTATGGACCATATTATCAAGAACGCAGAGTCATTGGAGGAGGCTTCGGTGGTGGCTTCGGTGGCGGCTTCTATGGCCGCTAAGTCCTGAGGAGATATTGTTCTGGGGCACAATGTCGACTTAATAAAGTTAAACATTAAAACAAGAATAAATCCAGTGGATAAAAAGGGTTAAGGACAACGATGGGGGCCATGGAGTTGGCCCTGGGGTGAAGCTGAAATTATAAAAATTTCATTTCAAATCACGTTGAGTGACATGCAGACGGAGCACAGGACAAGAAAACTTAATCAGCGATGTTAACGATGTCAGGCTGCGGGAAACAGGATGTCATTCTGTACCATCAAATGGCTCCATTCCGGGTCGCGTACTCGTATTTTATTTCGCTCTCTACTTTCTTTTCCCTTCCCGGATTTTCTTTTTCCCGTTTTTCAGTTGTGTTTCTTTTTTTTACTTGCTGTATTTTTTTGTATTTTCTAATTCATATGCGTTTCAAGTTTTAATTACGTGGGAAAAAAGCGAATGAACAAACGAGCGGGTGCCAGGGCAGGGAGTAAAATTTCTGAGCCAGGACCAGGACCACGGGCAGGAGCTCCGTTCCTGGCTTCGTTTGGCTTGACTGACAGGCGGCAGCAACATGAAAATAACAAAATACGCCCAATCAGCTCAGCCAGGAACGGAAACGAGACGATACACAGAGGGCAGACAGACGGCCAGACCTAGAGACAGACAGATGCAGACCAAAAAAAAAAAGGCGAAAAAAATTAAGTAGCGAAATCAGCGGGTAAAATAAAATAAAAAAACATTGGGGAAAAACAGAAGGAGCGTGGGCCCCAGTACAACACAAATAAAACAGGATAAAGGCGTTGCATGCCAAGGATAATCCGTGCAGCGTTCGTACAAAGACGAAACCCGCGGCTGACACAGAGGCGGAAGAAAAATGGTAGCACGCAAAAATTGTGAACTCACTTGACGTAGCTCATTCTGGCTGAGCTGGTGCCTTAAGCACTCGAAGAAAATTTGCAACGATTTAAAAATAATATTAGAAAATAGCACAGAATTCAAGTGTTTCAAAAAACTAGTAAATTCCCATTTTAAACTAATTTTTCAGAATTTTTGAAAAGTAAATAAAAAGCCAAGGATGTGAATTTTTAATTAGAATACAGACAGAAATATAGAAAGATTAAAAAATGATCCAGGACCTAAAAATTAAACTTATAAGTCCCTGTGAGTTGAAGGGATAACAAAAAGAAATAGATTTTAATTTTAAAATTATTTTTTAGAATATTATAAAGGAAGTAAAAAGCCAAGGGAAAGGATTTTTAATTGTAAGATAAGATAAGAGAATGTTCCAGGGCTTAAAATTACGCCTTAAAAAGTTTACAGAATTTAAGGGATAGAAAGAACTAATTGAATATTTTTAAAATATTTTAAAAGACATTAAAAGGCGAAGAGTTTGGATTTGTAAATGGAAGGAAGGTTTTCTTTATAGAAAACAATAAAAGACATGTTTAGATTTGAGCTGCAACGCTATAAAATAATGTGTTCCTTAATTACTACTTATTTTTAAATTAGTAGTAGTATTAGTAAGGAAAATAAATATTTTTCCCAGTGTACACCTTATTTCTTAGCTCCACCGCTAACTTCACCCACTGCCAAATGGCATGACGACGTTGTTTGGTGTTGACGTGTCTGTGGGTTCGTTGTGTTGGTTGGTCATCGCTTGTTAGCTGCGTGTGTTGGCCAAATCAGCGCTCCATCCCCTGGCCTGGCCTGGCCAGGAGAAGATGCGGCCATAAGCATAAATATGCACGATCCACAACAGCAGCTGGCCAAATTGCTGTGTGCGTGCGTGCGTATGAAAAGGGAGAGGGGCAGAGTTCAAGAAAGAGTCCTTTCAGTTCGCAGAAAAAAAAGAAAAGAGGGAGAATAAATATCAGAGTAATTAACAATTACAATGATGCGAGCGAATTCTGCTGGCCAACAATCCTGGCCCAGGACCAGGTTCTAACGCTTGGCTGCCTGGTTAACGGACTGCTTGAGTGACTGACAGTTGCTATCACAATGTGGAGCCCTGTCTGCCAGTCTTTCAGTTCGTCAGTTCATCTGTCCATCCTGTCCATCCTGTCCATCCTGTGGTTGTGGCTGCTGCTGCTCCTCCAGGATGCTGACATTCCCACAGTTGCTTCGTTTATTTCGTCCAGTGTGTCTAGAGTAATAACATTATGGTCATCAGCTTGTAGAATTCAAAAGAAATAATTTTTCTATTTGCAAATTAAAGCAGAAATTATGGCAAGCTTAAGAGTGAAGAATGAAAAGATTTAAAACCATTTCAAATTTGTTTTTACACTAAAAAGAGTGATAAATATCATGAAATGTTTTGCAAGTAGTTAAACTAACTTTCCAGATTAGTTTTTCCTAAGGTATATCCCACTTCGACTTGCCAAAGTTTCCAAATATTCTTTCGATAAGTTTATGCTTGAATAAATGCGAAAATTGCAATTATTTGAGGTGAGTTTATTTATTTTTCAATAGTCTTTTTAGACAGTAACCCAATGATTGCCTTGCTGCTTAATTGACGTGCTTTAACCCACAACAAGATTACTTTGATTTTATTGAATTTTCTGTATGAGTATCTAAGTAATAATGCAAATATTATATATATTTATATTTATATTGATTTAACTAAGCATATTAGTTGTGAAAAAGGCTTACATTTTCACAACATCAAAATGAAAATACATTTTTACCAAAAGCCCATTAAATAGAGACATGTTTTAATGCACAGCCCGTCAGTAATAATATCATATAAATTAGTCCTTGTAGGGGAAAAGCACTCAGTGCTAGTCCTCCCCTGTTTGGTTTCCCCTTAAAAACAACACACTTTGGCCGGATTAAGGATGATTTTATTTTGGTTTCCCGTCTGCCACGTTTAATTGTATTTGCGGCCAGGACACAAACACACAGGACACACGCAGAGCACACGCAGAGCACACACACAAATGGGGGAGGCATGTAGGCACACAGAAAGTTTTCGCCGCTGAAAAATCTAAGAAAAAATCCCTAATTAAACAGTTTGTCAGTAATGCAAATAAACTTTGTTCAACTTTTGCCCACAGTCAACGAGCGAGGCGAAATGGCAACAAAAAAGCGCTTTTCCTTTCCTGTTGCTTATTATTCTTTGGTTTCTTACTTATTTCGAAATTCTCCCCTCTTGTCATTTTTGTTTTTGGTCAAGCACACAAAAATGTAATTATTAAAAAATTATGCTAAACACGCAATAAAAACTTGGTAAGAGAAAAATACAAAATTAACGAAGAAAACCAAGTTCAACGAGCACAAAAGAAAAAAATTTATTTTTAAAAGGCAAACGGTCAAATTTATATATTTGCAATTTTTCCCTCAACTTTTTTTGTGTTCATATTACGTTTTGTTTTGTTACAAGCCCGCATGATGATAGACGAAGGAAAAGCAAAAAGAGGAATGAAAGGAAAAGGCGAGCCGGGAAACAAGAGCAAAATTAACAATTGTTAATTTGAAAATTGCACACAAATGCGTAATGCGAAAGTTTTTGCTGTACTCCGTACTCCGTACTCTGTCCCTGGTTCCAGACCCATCCTGAGTCCGGTCATACCCCCAAGTCCATCCCTCGGATTCAGACAGACTCGGCTTGGCCACTTGTTAAGTGTTAATGAAATAATTATGCCAACTTTGCCCGGTCCAGCCAGTGGCTGCACATGGCCCATACCGCGTACAAAACGCCCAAGCATATATACACATACACTGGGGGAAATTAATGAGTATTTACAATGATTTACTATACTATTATATGTTTCATTTAAAAGTTAAATACTTAAAAAGAACATTTTCCTGCTGTGAATTGTCTAAAACCCTCTGGAAAGTCCTTTGCCCTATACTACTTATTCTTTTATTTAGAAATAAACTTCTCTTTCTGTAAAATATAAACATTTAATTTAAATAAAATATTGTTTCCTTAAAAATTCATTTCAAAATTAACATCTTCTTGCAGTGTAGCTCCTATACCCCTCTGGAGAGTCCTTCGGCCCAGTGGCACCCCTGCAACCACTTCAGTTTTATTGTTCCCCTTCTCACTGAACTTGGGAACAATGAAGTGTGAGCTGGCCAGAGTCCTTATGTAGGATGTCCTTCTGCCTCAAACACTCCCCCCACACTCCCCCACGCCCTATTGCTTTTTTTAATTCGATAAACTGCCCTCTGAAGACGCAGGGCAGCGACCTTGGTCTTGTGGCGCCCCCAAAGCCTAAAAGCAGGCAATGCTTTTGTACCGTCGAGGCTTTCAAACGCCTAAGCCGCTTAATTACAACGAGTCGTCGGGGGCCCCAGAGTTTGCCAGCTATTTGCTTAAGACGCGAAAATGTGATTAACAAGTGTGAAAAGCCGCTCGGCTCTCCCTTAATTTTTATTTTTTTGTTCCTCTTTTTCATTTCTGCATGTCTTGTTTCCCAAGTTTTGCTTTTCCAAGTTTGAGGGAGTTTAATTTTGGTTGAATAACTTTAATTGATTTAGTTTGAGAGAAGAGCGTGTGTTTCACAGAGGCGAAGAGAGCTTTCAATTGTTTAAAAAATTATCCGAGTTTTTTGGCACCAAGTTAACTTTCTTTATATCACGATTTTTCTTTTACTTTGTGTGGTGATTGGAAAAATTTCAAGTACTACTTATAAGGTTATTTTAATGGAAAAATTGATTAAGATTTCAAGATAAATATATATATTCTTTGACAAAAAATACATAAAAACTTATAATTTCAAATTAGTTTGATAGAAAAATATATTATTTCTTTCCGAAAATCAATCTAAAAGGGAAGCCTCTCTAAAGCAAGCACCCCTTTGTTCCACTTGAAATATCCATAAGTTCTATAAATATAATAATGTTTTCAACCTGTAACTGTGTTTATAATCTATCCTCTTTTTTAATAAATAACCTATTAAATAACAATCACTTCCACCTCCAAGTCAAACCCTGTATGGGTTTAAAATTGATTGAAGTTTGCCGTTTAAATGCTAAAATCAGGTTAAGACCAACCACTGACAGAGGACAAAGTTGG